TAAACTATCAAGTAGTCATCATACCGAGCTTTGCCAAACATTCATAACGTCTATAGCTGCTCCTGTAACAGTTCTGTCACCTAGTGGTGCATCAAGGACATAATACTTCTGTGCAGCATTGAGGATAATCCTCAGATCACGGAGCTAGTCTGAATCATTGCTACTAACGTCTTTATTTTTCTCTAAGAACATATCAAAAATAAACGGGGAGATACATCGCGAGCTATTGATCTACAACATAGTTATGCAAATACTATCAGGACTAAGTTCATGATAAATTAAAGTTCAATTAATCATATTACTTAAGAACTCCCACTTAGATAGACATCCCTCTAATCATCTAAGTGATCACGTGATCCATATCAACTAAACCATGTCTAATCATCACGTGAGATGGAGTAGTTTTCAATGGTGAACATCACTATGTTGATCATATCTACTATATGATTCATGCTCGACCTTTCGGTCTTAGTGTTCTGAGGACATAACTGCATATGCTAGGCTCGTCAAGTTTAACCCGAGTATTCGGCGTGTGCAAAACTGGCTTGCACCCATTGTATGTGAATGTAGTGCTTATCACACCCGATCATCACGTGGTGTCTCGGCACGACGAACTTTCGCAACGATGCATACTCAGGGAGAACACTTATACCTTGAAATTTAGTGAGAGATCATCCTATAATGCTACCGTCGATTTAAGCAAAATAAGATGCATAAAAGATAAACATCACATGCAATCAATATAAGTGATATGATATGGCCATCATCATCTTGTGCCTTTGATCTCCATCTCCAAAGCACCGTCATGATCACCATCATCACCGGCGCGACACCTTGATCTCCATCGTAGCATCGTTGTCGTCTCGCCAACTATTGCTTCTACGACTATCGCTACCGCTTAGTGATAAAGTAAAGCAATTACATGGCGATTGCATTTCATACAATAAAGCGACAACCATATGGCTCCTGCCAGTTGCCGATAACTGTGTTACAAAATATGATCATCTCATACAATAAAATTTAGCATCATGTCTTGACCATATCACATCACTACATGCCCTGCAAAAACAAGTTAGACGTCCTCTACTTTGTTGTTGCAAGTTTTACGTGGCTGCTACGGGCTGAGCAAGAACCGTTCTTACCTACGCATCAAAAACCACAACGCGGTATAGTGATTGCTTTTTGATCTTCAGAAAGAACCCTGTTCATTGAATCTGATTCAACTAAAGTTGGAGAAACTGACACCCACCAGCCACTTGTGTGCGGAGCACGTTGGTAGAACCAGTCTCGCGTAAGCGTACGCGTAATGTCGGTCTGGGCCACTTCATCCAATAATGCCGCTGAATCAAGAATCAACTAGTGACGGCAAGCAATATGTATATACCCTGTTGGGGAACGCAGTAATTTCAAAAAAAATCCTATGCACACGCAAGATCATGGTGATGCATAGCAATGAGAGGGGAGAGTGTCGTCCACGTACCCTCGTAGACCGTAAGCGGAAGCGTTATGACAAGGTGGTTGATGTAGTAGTACGTCTTCACTATCGACCGATCCTAGTACCGAATGTACGGCACCTCCGCGATCTGCACACGTTCAGCTTGGTGACGTCCCACAAACTCACGGTCCAGTAGAGATTCGAGGGAGAGTTCCGTCAGCACGACGGCGTGATGATGGTGTTGATGAAGCTACTGACGCAGTGCTTCGCCTAAGCACCGCTACGATATGACCGAGGTGGATTATGATGGAGGGGGGCACCGCACACGGCTAAAAGATCAATGATCAACTTGTGTGTCCATGGGGTGCCCCTGCCCCCGTATATAAAGGAGCAAGGGGGAGGCCGGCCGGCCCTAGGAGGGCGCACCAAGAGGAGGAGTCCTCCTCCTAGTGGGAGTAGGACTCCCCTTTCCTAGTCCCGTTAGGAGAGGGGAAAGGCAAGGGGGCGCCCCCCCCCCCTTCTTTGTTCTATTTGGACTCAAGGGGAGGGGGGCGCAGCCTGCCCTGGTCGGCCTCTCTCTCTCTCCACTAGGGCCCATCAAGGCCCATTAGGCCCCCGGGGGGTTCCGGTAACCCCTCCGGCACTCCGGTTTTCTCCAAGATCACCTGAAACCCTTCCAGTGCCCGAATATAGCCGTCCAATATATCAATCTTTATGTCTCGACCATTTTGAGACTCCTCGTCATGTCTGTGATCACATCCGGGACTCTAAACTATCTTCGGTACATCAAAACACATAAACTCATAATACCGATCGTCACCGAACGTTAAGCGTGCGGACCCTACAGGTTCGAGAACTATGTAGACATGACCGAGACTCATCTCCGGTCAATAACCAATAGCGGAACCTAGATGCTCATATTGGTTCCTACATATTCTACGAAGATCTTTATCGATCAAACCGCATGACAACATACATTGTTCCCTTTGTCATCGGTATGTTACTTGCCCGAGATTCGATCATCGGTATCTCAATACCTAGTTCAATCTCGTTACCGGCAAGTCTCTTTACTCGTTCCGTAATACATCATCCCGCAACTAACTCATTAGTTGCATTGCTTGCAAGGCTTATAGTGATGTGCATTACCGAGAGGGCCTAGAGATACCTCTCCGACAATCGGAGTGACAAATCCTAATCTCGATCTATGCCAACTCAACAACTACCATTGGTGACACCTGTAGAGCACCTTTATAATCACCCAGTTACGTTGTGACGTTTGGTAGCACACAAAGTGTTCCTCCGGTATTCGAGAGTTGCATAATCTCATAGTCATAGGAACATGTATAAGTCATGAAAAAGGCAATAGCAACAAACTAAACGATCATCGTGCTAAGCTAACGGATGGGTCAAGTCAATCACATCATTCTCTAATGATGTGATCCCGTTAATCAAATGACAACTCGTGTCTATGGTTAGAAAACTTAACCATCATTGATTCAACGAGCTAGTCAAGTAGAGGCAAACTAGTGACACTCTGTTTGTCTATGTATTCACACATGTACTAAGTTTCCAGTTAATACAATTCTAGCATGAATAATAAACATTTATCATGATATAAGAAAATATAAATAACAACTTTATTATTGCCTCTAGGGCATATTTCCTTCACTTTAAAGTGGGAAAAAAATACTTCTCTCTCATTACACGATAATCAAGACCAATAGCAATCTATACATGATCTTCTTAATTTTTACATGCACTTAGCTCATTGGGGGTTGGGTAATTAAAGAGGAGAGAGATGGTGGCTTGCACATTTCCAATGCACTTTTTACTCAACTCTATAATTTGTTCTAAAATTTCTAGATGTACACTCTTCACCGGACGGAGGGAGTAGCTCATTAGGGGTTAGCTAATTAAAGAGGAGAGAGATGATGGCGTGCACCTTTCCAATGCATTTTTTACTTAACTCCATAATTTATCCTAAAATTTCTAGATGTACGCTCCTCACCGGACAGATGGGGTACTTTGTAAGGTTTTTATGAATAATTAATAAAATGGCGGCATATGCATCGCCCAGATGCAGAGAGACCGGGGGTACATCCTTCTTTTAAAAAAAATAGTATATTAAGATAGTGAATGTAAACCCCTCTTGTACCCCGGTCCACCAGGGATAAAACTACAATGGTTGGATGATTTGGCGCCACGTGAATCTCATTAAGTTATAATATTCTTTCGGTGTGATATGAAGGGGAACATCCTTTGAAGTTTCAGAACTCCAACTTCAGCTTGTTCTGTGAGTTTGTGTGCGCATGTGATGGTGGTCTATATCGATATATCCATCTATATTGTACTTGGTATTTAAGAAACAAAGACATCTTAGATAGTCGGTCGAAAATAAAGCAGTCCAGGTCTACCAAATATATCTAGGCTCTGCTTGGAATCTAGCAGCTTAAAACATGAAGCCGGTCACACCAGAAAACAGAAAAATTTGAGGGCATTTTCAACATGGATCACCAAAACACCCGTAAATATTTGAACCGGATGGCCGAACACTTTTAGCCATCCTACATGGCTCACTAGGTCGGTATAGACTTTCCCATAAAAAAAAGGGTCGGTATAGACTTGTCTGGACACTCAAATCTCACAAATTGTCTTCAAACTGGGGAACCTCTTGGGAATTCGGATGTCCGTCCAACCCACTATCAGTTGTACCACTTCTTCCACATCCTATGTCCGATGCATATTTTTTGAGCACCTACACCCGGGCCTTATTATTCTGGCTCTCCAATATCACTTTGAAGTCCGTGCGACACAACTAACTTTCTACATGATTTTTTTCCTTTTTTGTTTCTTTCACATAGAACATGTCTTGAACTTAAAGCTTTGCAGCGCAACAATTTTTTTTCTAGAATGTAGGATAAAACTTTCAGAATTTTTGGTCCGACATAAATACTAAAAATAAGATCTTTTAATCAAACAAAACTCATTTTGTATATTTATGTTGGACGAAAAAATCTAAAAGTTTTATCCTAGATTCTAGTTAGAAAGATTTATTGTTCTGCGAAGGTTTGAACTTTAAGATATGTTCTATATAAGAGAAACAAAAAAGAGAAATGTACCTGCATGAATCTTGATGCGGAGAATGGATGGCTAGATAATAAATGTCTGGGTGCGGGTGCTCTAAAACATGTTTTCGATCCTACCACTCATCTCTTTCTCCTATCGGTTAAATTGGCTCACTTTCATATCTCACAGTCTGAATTTGAGGGGCACCATTGAATGGTGGGGTGTCCGTGAACCTATCCGGATGTGTCCGTGGAAATTTGATGATGGTCGTTTGGTGATACGCGTTGAAGGTGCCCTCACTCCCATCAACCAGCTTTCGTTTGGTCTGGGTGGGATTACTCTTTTGTAGGGCGAACTCTCTATAAATGCACCTGTACCATTTGAGATAGAATCCAAGCGGCCGCCATTAACGCGCTACGCAGGGTGAGCTAGACGCCTTAGCTAGCAAGTAGCTCGTCGCTGCCAGTGCACGCAGAGGGAAGACGACGCGACTGAGGCCATGGCGTACTCTTGTTTGCCCTTGTATGCGGCTTCCTTTCTTGTAGTGCTTCTCGTTTTGCCTCTCATGGCAGTGGCATCTGCCGCCGCGCCCGCTGCCGAGACGTCCTACGAGACCAAGTCCATGGACCCCGGCCTCGCCCTCATGACGCTGCCGCAGCCCGTGTCCGGCCCGGAGAGCCTCGCCTTCGACCGCCGCGGCGGTGGGCCTTACGCCGGCGTCTCCGACGGCCGCGTCTTCAAGTGGCGCGGCCGCCGCCTCGGCTGGACCGAGTTCGCGTACAACTTCAGACACAAGCAAGCATCGATCCTGTGCATCCATTGTACATACATGCACGTACGTCGTGGTCATAACCTTTGCACACCTGTGTGCGTTGGTGTCTTGTGCAGGAGCGTGGGGATGTGCGCGCCGAAGAAGAAGCTGGTGGTGCCGGAGAGTGTGTGCGGCCGACCGCTGGGGCTGCAGTTCCACCACGAGTCCGGCGACCTGTACGTCGCCGACGCCTACCTGGGGCTGTTGAGGGTGCCGGCGCGCGGTGGGCTGGTGCAGGTGGTGGCGACGGAAGCCGGCGGCGTGCCCTTCAACTTCCTCAACGGCCTGGACGTCGACCAGAAGAGCGGCGACGTCTACTTCACGGACAGCAGCAGCACATACCGAAGAAGGTGCATATAAATCTTGACATACACTAAAATTTATTTGACCAAATTTGCCGAAAATTGCGTCAATATATGTACTCTCTCCGACGTAAGTTGTATATTAAAATATATTTTATGATGAATTAATTTTTGAGAGAAAAAGGAAGTACTTGATTCACCGGGCTGTTAGTTAATTTTGTCTTGCTTTTGCAAAGTTATTACGATGCAGTATACCTTTTATAGAGGGCGTATGCATGACGGTCTTCCTGGTGTACATCGCAGCGAGTACCTACTGGTGGTGGCTCTGGGCGACGAGACCGGGCGGCTGCTCCGGTACGACCCGCGGACGCGCCGCGTCGCCGTGCTCCACGCCGGCCTGTCCTACCCGAACGGCGTGGCCGTGAGCGCGGACGGGTCGCACGTCGTGGTGTCGCACACGGCGCTGTCCGAGCTACGCCGGTACTGGGTGCGCGGGCCCAAGGCCGGCAGGAACGAGACGTTCGCGGAGCTGCCGGGGTTCCCGGACAACGTGCGCTCGGACGGGCGGGGCGGGTACTGGGTGGCGCTGACTCACGGTGGCGACGACGGCGTCGCCGCGCCGACGGTGGCCGTGAGGGTGGGCCGCGACCGCGCCGTGGAGGAGGCGCTGGGCGGGTTCAGCTTCGAGACGGTGAGCGAGGTGGGCGAGCGGAACGGCACGCTCTGGGTCGGCTCCGTCGACACGCCCTACGCCGGCGAGCTCAAAAGACACTAGTGCAGTGCTGCGGCTTCATGCATACGAACGCCGATCATCGTTCTCAATTCATCGATCGCCATTGATCGAATATGTACTCTGAACGAATTGTACGCGACGCTTTTGTGATGTAGTGTAATGTGTGTACGTGATGCGTACCGCACAAGTGCATGTGTATGGACTCGCAGTGATGGCATCAGTGTGTGGTTGCGATGGGGTTAGTACTACGTACCATATGTGTGTTCTTTGCAAAATATTTTCTGAACGGGCAGTTGTTTGGTGTGCATGCAGTGCAGGTGCAATTCATTTCGTTGCCTAAACACTGTGTCCAGGTGCGGTGTAGGCCAGGAGTACTGAAGTACGGAGTAGTTGGCCTAGCAGAGGTCAAAGAAAACGCCTGGATCAGGTAGATGGCCGCTGGTCTCTGCCAGTGCAATCAATCGCCATGCAAGAGGCCACGTCCATGGGCCCATGTGGCGTTAGTGCACGTATCTAACGCTGATCCCAAACCGGACATTGCATCCTTTCCTGAACCCGTGCGGACCGGTGTCTGGACATGTTGATACAGAAACCGGTCATCCATCAATATTTCTTAAATGTACGTTTTTATTAACTTAAAAAAATAATCCATTCCATCGAATCATGCATTAATCATTATATAACACCAACGCGTGATTAGTACTAGCTTTGTTTCACTAAACTCTCATTTTACCAAGCACTTGAAAGGAAAAGGTGGCACGTTTTGGAGAAAGCCTTCCATCAAGTGGCGGAAGCTACTAATCCAAGTGTTCAAGTGTTGGCGAAAGATTTCACCAACAGCCTGTTTGGTAAACACTTGGGTATGGAAATGTAAGTTTGAACAAAGGTGTTTATAAAGAAATTAGGCATGGGAAGTAGATTTTTACTCTCATTTCCTTGTTTGGCATATGATGGGAATTGGCGTGGGATAGAACTTTACTCGCGAATTAACAGGGTACCCCTAGGAAGAAATCGGTGGGAATTGACTTCCTCAACTCTCAATCCTTTTTCCACTTAAACTCCCATTCCCTCTAATCAAACGCAACATGTTTGGCAATATTTGGAAAAAGGGATAGGAGTTTAGAGCATGGAGTTGGGTCGAGATTAGACATGGGATAAGGTGTTTCCTTCCCAATCCTCTGTTTGGTGCATGATAGGAGTTATGTGTGAGAATTTGAGAAGAAATTAAACTCCGTTGTTTGGTTCGTGAGAATTGACATGGGACTAGACAGGAAAGTTAGGATGAACGGTTAAAATTGACTCACTTAAACAATTGCCTTCCAACTCCCACCCCCTCCCTTGTTAATAAAACGGTGGGAGTTGGAGTCTCAAGTCCCATGCCTCTTCCCTTGTGAATTCCCAATCTCTCCAACCAAACAATAGATTTGAAGTCGCATACCCCTTCAATTCCATTCCCTTGCTCTAATTACCCCCAACCAAACACGCTGCAGTGGACTTTTAATCTCCTTACCCCTCAACTCCCATTCCCCATCTCTAATTTTCCCGAACCAAACACGCTGCAAGTGTCAGCGCAAGCCTTTCACCAAATACTAAGAGCAACTCCAACGCGCCGACCCAGACGGGCACGCGTTTTGTCCGTTTTTCGTCCGTTTGGGTCGGCCATGCGCACCTACGCATTCGCATTTTCATATGGGTCGGCAGGTGCGTCCAACGGAAGACGGACCCAAATTTGCTGGTGTAGAAAAAAAAACAAGTCGCAGAAATAAACATAATTAAACATTAAAGTGGCTAGTCAACCGCCGACCAAAGTCCACATAAACCTAATTAAACATTACTCTAATAAAAACATTAAAAAGTCTGCGCCCGCACGCTACCGTAGACGTCCTCCGCCTTGCCTTTGCCCTTGACGTCACCATCACCGCCGGTGAGGTCGATGAAGACGGGAGCAGAGCCAGCCCACCCAAACGCTGCTTGGTACGCTGCTAAGGCAGCCTCCTCCGGCGTCTGCTGAGTCGCCGGCATTGCGGCTAGCTGGGCGCGCTCATCCTCCTCAAGCCGCAGCGCCTCCGTGTCGCGATGCAACTCCCAAAGCATCTGTCGCTCGCCGTTGGCCGCCTCCTAGGCAAGCCAGTGCGCCTTCCAGCGCTCAAGGTGGGCCGCCTGCTCCTCCGGCATCATGGCGTAGTGGACCGGAGTGCACTCACCCACTCGCGGTACGCGCCGGTCCACCTTAGGACTCCTCTGGCCAAGTGGGTGGAGGCGGCGAGCGCTTCCGCGTCGGCTCCGGCTCCGTCTTGGGCTCGACGATGGGCGGCGGCGGAGGTGAGTCGAAGAGCAAGGCGTGGACGGAGTCCCCTGCCGCTGACAAGGCGAGGGCGCGGTCCATCCCATCCCATTGGGCCTCCTCCTCGATCCTGCTCGCCTCCAGCGCCTGCTACAGGGCTAGCTCGAGGGCGGCTTGGTACGCCACCTCTTCGTCCTGCTCGCGCAGCAGAACCTCAGGTGACAACGGAGGAATGTCGTGGTCGACGTGGACGCCCTGGCGGCGCTCCTCCTCATGCTCTAGCGCGAACCAGCGCTTCCAGTTGGGGGATTCTGGCGCGTAGGCACGCATCCGCCGCTACTCCGGAGTGAGGGCCTCGCGATGCTGGTGAACCTCCTCGACGTGTGCCCGCGAAGTGTGTGGCATTGCCGGAATCGGGATCCGCTACAGATCCAGATGCCAGCTGTGAGGCAGGTTGACATCTGGATACTGCAGTGGCCGATGTAGTGGCCGGCGGTACTGCCAGTGCCCCAGCCTCTGGTGGACTGGTATGTATAGACGTTGCCACTCCGGTGGCGAGCCGCGTCTAGGAGGCGGCAGCGAAAGAGCCGGCGAGCCATGGGAAGAGCTCGCACCGGGGGTCAGCTTCCCCCTCCCCTTGCCACCGAAAAAACCCATGGTGGTTTGGGCTTGCCAGGGTTCCTGGTCACCGGTGAGGGAGCACGGTGTGGCCAGATGTGGACGGGCATTGGAAGTGGATGAGGCCGGCCCTGCCGCACGCTTCCATTAAAAAGGACGGGCTCACGGACCTTCCACATGCTGCCATGTGGGCCCTGAGGTAGGTGCTGGCATTTAATAAGACGTGGGTGGTGGTTGGGCGACCGACTAGTGGGATTACGGCGGACATCGAGGGGAGGCGCGGCACGTCCGCGTCGCGTCCGCTCCGACGCATTTCAGGCGCAATTTTGGGCTTGAAATGGGTCCGCGCAGATGCCAGCCGGGCGGATTTTGGGAATGGGTCAGCGCATTGGGCCGGCGTTTTTGTCCGCGCCGACTCAAATGGACATGGGCAGATGAAATGGACCTCCCTTTTGTGGTTTCTCTAATGCATGAATTAGTAGCTTTCTGCACCCAGCATTTGAAGAAGAAAATGAAACAAAGTAGCTTCTGCTAAAGGGTTTCAAAGCCTTCCGCCAAAACACTAAACTAATTTTCTGCTAAGCACAATAGTTAGTGGCTTCCACCATTCGGACGGAGAGGAGATGGTATGTGGCGGTTTTTGCTTCGTTATGTGGATGTACGAACTCCCGCAAAGCACCCCTTTGTTTGGTTCCAATTTGTAGGATCTCAGACATCCGGACCGGCTGGGGATAGATACAGGCCCACGTTGAATGACAAAACATGTCTGGACCACCTGGTATAGATGGCTAGGGGCGGTTTGAGGGTCTGCGTTGGAGAGGCCCTTACTATCGAGTGTATGAGTATTGACTGGCTTTCTTTGCCCTCTGCCTTTCTATCTCTCACTAGAAGGTGGAACTACCAATCAACACTAAAGTGTGGTTCTAGTTGTTATCAGGTTCGACATAGTTTTCCTCCTTTCCAAGAAGCGGCTCTCGCGTGACTAAACTTTCCTGTTCTCCTGTCGGCGCCTTCTCTGGTCCGCCTTGCCTTCGATGGTCTTTGGGTTGTGAAGGTACGGAGGACACCCCCACGGCGGCGGCAGGGACCCTACTCTTGTTCTTGTTTGGTTTAACATCTCGCTTGGGGTTGTGTGGCGGCGACGATGTCCCCTAGTAGGAATAATGTCTCTCACGTCCGATCGTCGCCTCGATCGGTGGTGTGTCTAGCATCGTTGGAGAGCATGTGAAGGTGTGTCTTTGTTGGATCCCGCAGGATTCGATAGGTGTTGGTCTTCGGTGGATCTTTTTGGATTCAGTCTTTGTTCTCCTTCGTGGGGAGCCAGACGACACACGAGAAGACGACAAGGCGGGGGTGCACCCAGGGGGTAGGCGCGCCCAGCCCCCTTGTGACCCCCCTGTTACTCCATTTACACTAATTCCTGACCTATAAATTCCCAAATATTCAGAAACCCCTAGGAGGGGTCCCGAAACAATTCTTTCACCACCGCAAGCCTCGGTTCTTCCGTGATCCCATCTAGAGGCCTTTTCTGGTACTCTGCTGGAGGGGGTATCCATCACGAAGGCCATCTTCATCAACCTTGTTGCCTCCGTGATGATGTGTGAGTAGTTCCTACATGACCTATGGGTCCATAGAGTAGCTAGATCTCTCTCTCTCTCTCTCTCTCTCTCTCTCTGATCTTAAATACAATGTTCTCTTCAGAGATTGATTCGATATAATCCTTTTGCGGTGTGCTTGTTGGGATCCTATGAATTGTAGGTTTATGATCGGATTATACATTGAAAGTAACTGAATCTTTTCTGAACTTTATTATGTGTGATTTTATAGACTTGTATTTCTTTGTGATCTATCCGCCTTCTTTGGCCAAGTAGATTGATTTATCTCCAGTAGGAGAGGTGTTTGGTAGTAGGTTCAATCTTGCGGTGTCCTCACTTTGTGACGGGAGGAGTATCGAGGCACGTATTTGTATTGTTGCTACTAAGGGTAAAACGACGGGGTTCGAACATATTGTTTGGTCTTACTTTATCTACATTATGTCATCATGCTCCAAGCATTACTCTGTTTGTTATGAACTTAATACCTTAAGATGCATGCTGGATAGCAGTCGAGGGGTTGAGTAATAGCAGTAGATGCAGAAGGA